GGACACTTAACCGACTGAGCCACCCGGGCACCCCCAAAATTCCACATTTCTGAGACTATACCTTTTCAAGGTTCTAAGGCAGCACTGCCTCATACACTATCCACAAGCTACTTAAATTTAAATTTAATTAAAACGAAATACAATGAAAAATTTGGTCCCTCAAGAAGCACGGGCCACATTTCAAGCACTTACAGCCAAAAGTACCAGTGGTGAGTGGTTAGTATGTTGGACCTCACGGATAGAGAACACTTTGCCCATCACAGTGGAAAGTTCCATTGGACCACGTTGGACTACAGATTCAAGTGCGAAGTGTCTGTAACTCCCCGTCCTCCAGGCCACCAAGGTTCTCGGGCACTGGGGTACACAGATACCACCCCAGCAGCCTCCTCCCTTCCCTCCTCCCCACGCCAGCCCTCTTCCGGGTACCTGCCAAGGCCTTGATCCTGGAGCACTCAAAGAGGGAGGCGGCGGCCGTGACAGCTGTGGGCTGCTCCCGCTCCCAGCCCCGGTCAGGACTCTCCCAGCGGGCCGCAGGATTGTTGTTGTTAGGGGCCGGCAGCCCCTCCATGTTGTCCACTTCCCCTGGTACTTGCGCCATCGGGGAAAGGGAGGCCTGGGGAGGAGCAGAGGCAAGGTTAGGCAGGGCTCGGGGCCCGAGCTCAGAGATCCCACTTCAAACAGCCACTGTCTGTGAGTCCTGTCCACTCCCTCGTCCTCAGTTTCCCTGTCTTTAAAGTGGACATAATACGGGGCGCCTGGGTGGCTTAGTCGGTTAAGTGTACGGCTTTCGCTTAGGTCATGATCTTGCGGTTCGTGGGTTCGAGCCCCGCCTTGGGCTCTGTGCTGACTGCCAGCTCAGAGCCTGGAGCCTGTTTCAGAGTCTGTGACTCCCTCTCTCTCTGACCCTCCCCTGCTCATGCTGTCTCTCTCTCTCTCTCTCCTAGAAATAAATAAAACATTAAAAAGAATAATAAAGTGGGCATAATACTACTAACAATACTATTTACTCTGACCACTTCACAGGGCTGTGGTAAAGCACCCAGCTTAGCACCTGGCCCAGGGTAGGGGCTGGGCAAACTGTCCCTGTATTCTTGTTAGAAGGATGACACTTATCAGTAGAACTCTAAAATGCGGTAAACGGGCGCCTGAGTGGCTCAGTCGGTTAAGTGTGGGACTTCGGCTCAGGTCATGTTCTCACTGTTCGTGGGAGCCCCACATCAGCACGGAGCCTGCTTGGGATTCTCCTTCTCTCCCTCCCTCTCTGTCCCTCTCCTGCTTGCATACTTCCTCTCTCAAAATAAATAAATAAATAAATATTAAAAAAAAAAAAAAGACATTGGAGGGGCACCTGGGTGGCTCAGTCGGTTAAGTGTCTGACTCTTGACCTTGGCTCAGGTCATGATCTCACAGCTCTATGCAGAGCCTGCTTGGGATTCTCTCTGCCTCTCTCTCTCTCTAAAAAATATATAAAATGTAAATATTTATTTATTTTTTAGAGAGAGACAGAGTGTGAGCAAAGGAGGAGCAGAGAGAGAAGGAGGCACAGAATCTAAAACAGGCTCCAGGCTGTGAGCTGTCAGCACAGACCCTGATGTGGGGCTCGAACTCACCAACTGCGAGATTATGACCTGAGCCAAAGTCGGAGGCTTAACATATTGAGCCACCCAGCCATCCCCAAACTTAAAAAAAAAAAAAAAAGAAGAAAGAAAGAAAGAAAGACATTATATAGGAGGAAACTAAGGCCCAAGGTTGCAAAGCTAGCTGGTAGCCAGAGTTCAAACATAGGTACTATATTTGCATTAAACGGCCCCAATTCTTCATCCTTATAACCACATCCTTTGCCATAGAACTCTGGAGTGTTCTACTGTAAGGAGGGGGAAAGTGGAAGAGTGTCCCCTCACAACCTTGACTCCTGGCTTGGCCACATGACTAGCTTTGACCAACAGAATTAAGCGGCACTGCTGGAGAATTCTAAGCCTAAAACTCAAAGGACTTTGCATGTTTTTGCTTGTGCTTGAGACCATGAGAAAAACACTCTCACGGTAGGCGGGGCCTAAGGCCCCAGTCGTGAAAGCCAAGGCCGGTTAATGCAGCCAACAGTCAGCACCGCTCCCTGCCCCACACCCCAACATGTGACTCAGCCCCCACTGAGACCAGAAAAACTGTCCAGCTGAGCCCAGCCTAAGCCACTGACCTGATGCGTGATGGCTAAATAAATGCTCCGTGTTTTAAGACACTGAGTTTGGGGGTGGTTTCTTACGCAGCATTATTGTGGCAACAGCTAGCTGACAACATTGTCTGATCCAGAGCTATGCTCTACAACACTCGCCAGATTGTAAATATGAAATTAAAGGGGGTGGGAGACATTCGGATACCTCTCCTCCCTCTGGGATCCCAGGCTTGTTTCTGGGGCTATGAAAGGAAGGAACCATGAGGAGATCAATGTCCTTCTCAAAGACCCAAACAGCTGACAAACCACCAAATTGTAGGAAAGCAGCGTCTAGGGGTTGGTCAGTGTAGCAGAGATTGTCCCTTCTGGCGAACATTCCAAACTCCAATGTTCTTCTTCTTTCTTTCTATGGAAAGCTATAAACGGGTGCATGGCTACTTACCACCTGTGTGACCTTGGCCAGTCACTACTTCCGCTCTCTGGGCCTCAGTTTGTTCATCTGTAAAATGGTAATAATAGTACCCATTTTCTAGGGATGTTTGTAATTGAAATGAGTTGATGATGAGGGAACATGGTATCTAGTACATGCAAGCCCCTGATACATGGTCCTTGTTATTATTATTCATCCTTACACGATGAATATCCTAGCCAGTCAAAGTGCCTGTGCTGGAGTCAACAGAAATGAGTTCAAGTCCTGCCTTATTCTTCCTGCATCTTTAACCCATCTTTAACGCGGCCTCACGGCCTCAGTTTCCCTCCCTGTGAAATGGTGATCACAACTGTTTCCTGGGGTGGAGGATACTTGGGGATGGGGAGGCGCTTAGCACTTGGTGAGCTCTCTGCCAGGCCTGGGAAGAGCGCTGGCCATTATGTGATTGAATGGAGAAGGAAGGGAGGTGAAGGAGATGGGAGAGGTAGAAAGAGGTGTCCCACGGCCCCAGCAAAGGCTCCGGGCTGGGGGTGGGAAATCAATGCTTTAACCCTTCCGAGGCCGCGCCTCTCTCGCCCTGCAGTCTAGTCACTGTTCGAAAGGAGGGGACCTGGGAAGGACAAGGCCCGGGAGGAAGACTCACGCATGGCGCGGAGGCTGCGCTGGGCTGAGGTGTGGGGGCTCATTCTGCCCTGGGCCCCTCCCTTCCTCCAGCCGGGGAGACCCCAGGGGCTCAGGCCATGCCCACGGCGCGCGGGGGAGGGATTCTCGGGCAGGTGGGGAGATGCTGCAGGGAGGGGCTATCACCCAAAGCCGCTCACCTGGGCCCCGCGGCCGGCCGCCGGTGCCGCTGTCCCCGCTGCTCGCAGCGCCCTACTGCCTTCACTGGCGGCGTCCGGTGCACGGCCCGGCCCGGCCCAGCTCCGCTCGGCTCCGCCGGCCCCGCCGCTCGGCCGGATCCGCATGCGCCGCCGCCGCCGCCGCTGCCGCCGCCGCGCCTCCCCCGCTCGCGCGGCCGCCGCGCTCGGCGCGCCCCCGGGACCCCCTCCCTCCCGCCGTCCCCCGCCGCCTCGGCCGCCTGCGGCGCTGGCCCACGCGCGGTCACACACCGAGCCACGCCACTCTCGGGGCCAGAGGTAGCGTCACACACAGCCACGCACTCTCACGAGTCACACACTCCCACACTGTCACACACGCGCACACACACACTCGGGGTCACAGCGTCGCAAACGTTACCCACAGCCACACTCTCACACGGCATCACTCCCCACAGGGTCACGCAGAGTCAAACATTCAAATGCACACGCAGTCACACGCTCACATAGGGTCCCACTCTGGCACAGTGCCCGACAGCATCACACTAGTGACATGCTCAAATAGTGCCACCACCACCCATGCCGTGTCACACACAAGCACGCGTATGTCATACACGTCGCACACTCCCATGGGGTCACAAAGAGTGTCATCTACTCACAGGTCACGCACAGCTTCAGTATCACAGTGTCACACACTTTTACACACTCAAACTTGTTACACTAGTCACACACTCACCTGTCACACATCTTGCACTGTCACACACTCCTACATCATACAGTCACAAGAGGTCACAAACAGCATCAAAACAGTTACCACTCAAATATTGTCACAGTGACACATCCTTACATGTCACATGTGGTGTCATATGCTGTCCCTAAGAGTCACACACTCCCATAAAACACATCTCACACGTGTCCCACACCACATCCCCCAGCTTCATGGATGCATACAGCATCACAGACTGACACAGGGTCACCCACAGTGGAACCACAAGGTCACAAAAGAACAGCATCAATGTTTGCCACACGTCTCTCAGTCTCATACTGTAACACAGTGCTACACAGAGGATGGCACATGGTGTCATCCACAATCTTGCTCTCCCTTGGGGCTAGTCACAGTCACGCATAGTCACATGGGCACATACACACACAGTTAGTGTCACACCCTCCCTCATTTTCTCCTATGCAGCTTCCAAAAGGTTTTGGGGCACGTGGTGAGTCCCAGGTCAGCCTCAGGCCCTAGGAGAGGGGGCGAGAGCTAGGAGAGGTCGGTGGGCGTGGCCCGAGCTCACCCCGCCCCCGGCTAGAGCGCAGAGGCGGGGCACTGAGGTCCACCCACGCTCCTCCCAGTTGGCCAGATAAGGCCACGCCTCCCACTCTAAGTGGCAGGCGGAGGGGGCGGTGCTGGACGGCAGGCAGAGACCCGCAGACTGCTGTCCCGCCCCCCGCGTTCTTCCCGGCTAGAGGCGTGGCCTGTTAGGCCCCGCCCCCGGCCTCTACCCGGAGCCCCGAGGCAGGCTGAGGCGTGGCCTTCTGTGCCAGCCCCGCCCTGTCCCTCCCCCCGGAGAAGGACCGAGAGGCCGGCCCAGCAGCCGGCCAGTTCCCGCGCGTCGTGCAACTCCGTGGCCTTGTACTCCCACGAGCCCTCAGGATGACCGTCAAGAAGATTGCCATCTTCGGTGCCACGGGCAGAACCGGGCTCACCACCCTGGCGCAGGCGGTGGAAGCAGGCATGAGCTGGGGTGGCCGGGGGGGGGGGGGTGCACATGCCCCTCATTAGGAAGGGGCATCCTGGGATCCGGGAGAGGCTGGTTGGGCCATCAGTGCTTTGGTTTGTGACCTAGGGGCAAAGCAGGTGGCGACGGGGACAGAAATGGGGGACGCTGTGAGATCCAATTTTATGAGTCCGAGGACTAGGAATTGGCCCTGGGAGGCAGAGGGATTCCAGTGACAGGTTTAAATACAATGCTCTTAGGCAATGTTGTCGTTGTAGTTGTGGTTGTTAGCGCACCCAGCGAGGGCTTCCTAAGCCAGAAGGCGCCGGACTCCCAGCCGCTACCGCTCTTCCCTGGTATTGAATCCTCCCAGCGCTCACCTGCCGTGGGTGCCGGTATCATGGGTGCCGGTATCACTTCAACTTAACAGAGAAAACTAAGGCCCAGAGAGGGACTTGCCCAATATGGGACCGCTGGAAAGTGGTGGTGCTGGGACTTGAACCCGGCCCGTGCTCTTAGCCGCCAAAAGTTCACTGGCTTGTGCCCTGGGCACCAAGGCTGGAACTTTAGAAGGCTGGGCGGCCAGTTGCTATGAGCACCTTCTGGAAAGAGGATAATGGAGACGTAAGTGAAGATTTGGGTGCTGGTTCTGGGAAAGTGGGTGAGAGCTGCAAATTCACAGTTGCCCCCAAGAATGAGGATAAACGTCCTGCGGCCTCCCCTGCCTCCACCATCCAGACTTCACCACCCCCTGGCCGTGCCTGGGACTTCCAGATATAGGGCCCCACCCTTGCTGGTCTCAGTGACTCTGAAGATATTGACTATCTGGGTGCCCCCAGAGGGTGAAGGCTCCCAGGATCCCACTCTCTATTGTCTCCTAGCCCAGGCCTCCCTTGGAGGGACTCCGCCTGACAGTTCCTCATCAGGCCCACTGCCCTCTCCCTCTCCAGGAAGGCTCGTCAGGGTCCTGATTTGTGGGGACGGAGAAAGAAATTTGCTGATAATCATTTCTCGGGGAGGAAGTAAGAGGGAGAAGTTGAGAGGTGCTGAGTCACCCTGAGGAGCTGGATTCCCATGTTCCTACCTTACCCTTTATCCTGAATTCTGCTGAATTCCACTTGTCCACCCTGCTGGTCACCGTTGGGACTGCACCCCAGGGAACTGAGAGCCAAGGCCTAAGGGAGGCCCTGCCTTCTCACGGTGGCTCCCACAAGTCTCTTCAGAGCCACAGTGAGCCTCTGAGGCTTGCTGTCTCCATCAGGAAAAGGAGAGCTTTATTTACCTCAGTGATTCTATAAACTGGCACCAGCCTGCCTGCGTTCAAATCCCAGCTCTGCCACTTACCACCCCCATCGATGAAAGCCTCGTTGTCGTCTGTGTACCCAGATAACTGGAAAGTGGGGATACAACTAGTAGCACTTGGGTGCCTGGCCAACTCAGCAGTAGAGCGTGCGACTCCTCAGCTCAGGGTCGTGAGTTCGAACCCCACACTGGGCATAGAGGTTACTTTTAAAAAATATTTTTTAACTTTTTAAATGTTTGTTTTTGAGAGAGAGAGACAGAGAGAGCGGGGGAGGGGCAGGGAGAGAGGGAGACAAAGAATCCAAAGCAGGCTCCAGGCTCTGAGCTGTCAGCACAGAACCCTACGCAGAGCTCGATCTCACCAACTGTGAGATCGTGACCCCAGCCAGAGTCTGCCGCTTAACGGACTGAGACACCCATACCCCCCAAAAAATTATTTTAAAGAATACTAGTGCTTGTTTTGGGGTGCTTGCAATGATTAAATGAGATAATATGTGGAAAATGCTGAGAGCCATAACCTCTTTTGGCTGAGTGAACTCATAGCTGTGTGAACTTGGCTCAGTTAACTTAAAATTGCCTCAATTCCCCTATCTTCAAAATGGGCATGTAATAATACCTTTAAGGGTTGCTGCAATCTGGTGCTTTTCAAACTGTGGGTCATAGTGAGTTCTGAAATATATTTAATTGGTCATAAAGGTTTCAGAGTATATCACATGTTAAATATAGACTTTATGAAATTTCTTTCAATTATATATGCATGGATTTGTATATAGTAGGTTAGACATGGAAATCTGTTTTGGACTGAGGGTTGAGATCAAAAAAGCTTAAAATGGGCATGATCTCTACAACTTAGTCTCAAATAGGAAAAAACTTTGTGTGTGTTTGTGTGTGTGTGAGTTTATACACATATAATTACGTATGTTATATATTATACACACAGAGAGAAAGATAAAGCAAAAGCAAAGATGAGAATTGAAGGCTTCCAACTTTCCTATACAATTGAATTTCTTTCTTTTTTTAAAAATTTATTTCAAAATAAAAAAATTAACAGAAAAATATAAAGCGATTTGTAAAAAAAAAAAGAAAAAAAAATTGGAAGTACCTTACCAATGCTCTCGTTTTTTTCTAAAGGGTAAAGTATGTGAATTCTTTTTTTTTTTAATGTTTATTTTTGAGAGAGAGCAAGCATGAGCAGGGGAAGGGCAGAGAGAGGGGGAACAGAGGATCCAAAGCAGGCTCTGCACTGACAGCAAAGAACCCCATGCAGGGCTGGAACCCACGAACAGTGAAATCATGACCAGAGCCCAACCGACTGAGCCACCCAGGTGCCCCCGAAATCTGTAAATTCTAAAGCTATGCTGTTTGGTATGGTAGCCACTAGTGACCTGTGGCTATTGAAGTTTACATTTAAATGTGGGTTGTTTAAAAAATTTCTTTTGGTTGGGGCGCCTGGGTGATATTTAAAAAAATAAATAATAAAATAAAAAAAATAAAAAATTTCTTTTGGTAACAGGAGCACAGGGGTTGCTCAGTCAGTTAAGCAACTGACTCTTCATTTTGGTTCAGGTCATGATCTCACGGTTTGTGAGATTGAGCCCAGGTCGGTCTCTGTGCTGACAGAGCACAGCCTGCTTGAGATTCTCAGTCTCCCTCTCTCTCTGCCCCTCTCCCACTCATGTTTCTCTCTCTCTCTCTCTCAAATAAATAAATAAACATTAAAAAAAATTTTTTTGGACAAAATACCACTCATCTATGGAAAAAACTTAGCACAGCACTTGGCATATAAGAGGTTCTCAATAAATGTCATTAATCAGCAATAATATAACACTAACGGGCACCTTTTTTTTTTTTTTTAAATATTTTTATTTATTTCTAGGAGAGAGAGAGAGACAGCGTGAGCAGGGGAGGGTCAGAGAGAGAGGGAGACACAGACTCAGAAACAGGCTCCAGGCTCTGAGCTGGCAGTCAGCACAGAGCCCGACGCGGGGCTCGAACCCACGAACTGCGAGATCATGACCCAAGAGAAAGTCGGACGCTCAACCGACTAAGCCACCCAGGCGCCCCTAACGGGCACCTTTTTACGGAGCGTGTGTCAAAGCTCTCACTCTCCATGAGAACATTTTTCTCCCCACCCCCCCAACCCCGAGCGCTCACAATTTACTAAGGTCCGTTTTAACCGTTGGTAGTTAACCCAGGCCCACACTGGCACCCTGAAAACCCCCCTGCTCCCTGATGTGTGTGAGGATAGCCATTCCCTTCCGAAAGGGGGTTCGCACAGGGTGGGGACACTGGGAATTCTCATTTTCCCTTTGGGGAGAAAGCTGAGGTCCAACCAGGGAAGGGGTTTCCTTTGGTTCCTCAGCCACTTCCTGGTATAGCTGGAGTTTGAACCCAGCTCCACAGGACAGTAAAGCCTGTGCTTTTGTGTTAATATTATATAGATTGTTTGTTTGTTTGTTTTTTAGGTAGACTCCATGCCCAGCATAGGGCTCAAACTCACAACCCTAAGATCGAGAGTTGGATGCTGTAATGACTGAGCCAGCCAGGCACCCCTGTGCTTTTGTGTTTATAAACCGTCAGGGAGATGGTGACGAATATGCCAACGTCTCCTGACCTGCAGGGCCATTATTTACTCCAGGGCAGCATAAGTAAGACAGTGACAGAGGAAACACCAGCAGATGGGGGCCTGGAGAAAGGATCGAGGGTGCTCCCGGCAGAGGGAACAGCATGTGCAAAGGCCCGGAGGCAGGAAGCCGTGATACATTTGGAGAACTTAGAAGTGCGGTGGGTGAAGAGGGTAGTGGCTCCAGAACAGGCCGGAGAGGAGGAGAGGCCAGACCCCGGGGGGCTGGAAGGCTGTCATGAGGACCAGAGACTTTATCCCCGGGCACTGAGGGGGTCCTGGGAGGGATATGAGCAGTCGGGGACTCCTATACAACTGTGGAAAGCTCTATCTGGCCGCCGTGTGGCATATGGATGGGAGGGGATGAGACCGGGGCCAGGAGCCCAGGGAGGACTCACCCAGGACAGGAAATAACCTTGTGAGATGATTAAAAAGTACAGGAACAGCCAGCCCCACATCCCGCCCCTTCCTGTGCTAGGCACTCCCCTCAACTTTTTATTTGTATGTTTCAGTTCTATGCTTTTTTTTAAATGTTTTTATTTATTATTGAGAAACAGAGAGAAGGAGAGAGAGAGAGAGAGAGCATGAGCAGGGGAGGGGCAGAGAGAGGGAGACACAGAATCCGAAACAGGCTCCAGGCTCTGAGCTGTGAGCACAGAGCCCGATGCGGGGCTCAAACTCATGAACCGTGAGATCATAACCTGAGCCGAAGTCGGACGCTTAACCGACTGAGCCGCGCAGGTGCCCATGGGACATTTTCATCACCCCAAAAAGAAATCCCTAGGAGTCACCCCCTCCATTTTCCTTCTTAACTCCTCCCCCAGACGTAGGCAACTGCTCATCTACTTTCTCTTTGTACCCATTTACCTGTTCTGGACATTTCATATGAATGGAATGGTACATTACATGGCTCTTTGTGACTGGCTTCCACTGGCTTCTTTCACTTAGGAAAAAAACATTGTTTCAAAGGGTGCACCTATCAGTATGTCATTTCTTTTTACTGCCTAATACTATTATGTACATTGTACTGGGTAGATCACATTTTATTTATCCATGCAGTCGATGGACCTTTGGGTTGTTTCCATTTGGGGCTAGTATGAATAATGCCTCTATGAAATCACGTACAAGTTTTTGTACGAACATATGTCTTCATTTCCCTTGGACACATACCTAGGAGTGAAAAGGCTGAGTCATAGGCTAACTTCATGTTTATCCTTTTGAGGAACTTACCAGACTGTTTTCCAAACCAGCTAGCTGCATCATTCATACACCCATCAGTAGCGTGTGAGGTTTTAGCTTCAACGCATGTGCACCAGCAGCTAATGTCTTTTTTATCACAGCCATTCTAGTGGGTGTGAAGTTGCATCTCGTGGTTTTGATTTGCATTTCCCCGATGACTAAGGGTGTTCAGGATCTTTTCATGTATTTATTGGCCACTCGTGTATCTTCTTTGGAAAAGTCTCTATTCGTGTGTTTTGCCCAATTTTTAGTTGGGTTTTTATCTTTTTATTATTGAGTCGTAGGAGTCCTTTATGTATTCTAAATACAAGCCCTTTATCAGATGTTTGATTTGCGAAAGTTTCCTCTCATTCTATTGATTCTCTTTCACTCTCTCTTTTTATGTTTATTTCTGAGAGAGGCAGAGTGCGAGTGAGAGAGGGGCAGAGAGAGAGGGAGACACAGAATCTGACACAGGCTCCAGGCTCCGAACCTTCAGCACAGCCCCCGGAGCCGAGGTCGGTCGCTTAGCCGACTGAGCCACCCAGGCGCCCCTCCCCCATTTGTCATTATTTTCATCATCATGGCTCCAGAGTATTCAAATCTCCCATCACTTGTTTTTAAAATACATGACAGCTGTCAAGAGAAATAGAACAATTTTGTTGTTTTTCCTTCCTTTTACCATTTTCTGAATAATGAACTAATCCTCTGGCAACTGTTGGTGATGACTAATGAGGTGTCTTTGTTAGTATCATTATGAACTCACAGATTTTTAAATATTTGATGTGTTTAAATTCTTTGTCAGTATTCTTTTTTTTTTAATTTACCATCTTAACCATTTTTTTTAATTTTTAATGTTTTGTTTATTTCTGAGAGACAGAGAGAGAGAGAGAGAGAGAACGTGAGCAAGGGAGGGTCAGAGAGAGGGAGACACAGAATCAGAAACAGGCTCCAGGCTCTGAGCTGTCAGCACAGAGCCCAACGCAGGGCTCGAACCCACGAACCGTGAGATCATGACCTGAGCCGAAGTCGGATGCTTAACCGACTGAGCCACCCAGATGCCCCCAACTTAACCATTTTTAAAAATTTTTATTTATTTACTTTTGAGAGAGAGAGAGAGAGTGTGAGTGATCAAGAGGCAGAGAGAGAGAGGGAGAGAGAGAATCCCATGCAGTCTCCCCACTGTCAATGTGAAGCCAGAAGCTGGGCTCGAACTCACCCGATGCAGGGCTCGAGCTCATAAACTGTGAGATCATGACCTGAGCCGGAGCTGGATGCTTAACCAACTGAGCCACTCAGGCATCCCTCTTCGTCAGTATTCTCTATTTTTTTTTTTTAATATTTTTATTTATTTCTAGGAGAGAGAGGGAGAGAGAGACAGCGTGAGCAGGGGAGGGTCAGAGAGAGGGAGACACAGACTCTGAAATAGGCTCCAGGCTCCGAGCTGGCAGTCAGCACATAGCCCGACGCGGGGCTCGAACCCACGAACCATGAGATCATGACCTAAGCGAAAGTCGGACCCCTAACCGACTAAGCCACCCAGGCGCCCCTCGTCAGTATTCTTTTGAACGAATCATATTGTCCCTGATTTTTCCAATGAGAACTCCTTCAAGTGGCCTCTGGGTCCTTTCAACATGGCGCCATCATTCTTGAAGCGCTGCCTTACCAGCCGACGGTACAAGACATTTCAGCCTCATCTCGTCCTTTCTCTAAGGAGCTCTGGTTCATTTATCACAAGAATGATATTTAGAGGCTGTCTTAGTCAGCTTGGGCTGCTATGACAAAATACCATGGGCTGGTGGTGTACAATAGATACTTATTTCTCGTAGTTCTGGAGGCTGGGAAGTCCAAGATAAAGTAGTAATAGACTTGACTTCTGATGAGTGCCCTCTTCCTGGGCGCAGACAGCTGACTTCTTGCCTGATCCTCACATACTGGAGAAAGAGCTCTGGTCTGTCTTCTCTTCTAAGGACACTAATCCCGTCATGGGGTCCCCACCCTCATGACCTCATCAAAACGTAATCAAAGGCCCCATGTCCAAATGCCATCCCGTTGGAGGCTAGAGCTTTGGCATATGAATTTAGGGGGGTAAGGCACACACATTTAGTCCATAACAGAGACCACAATTAATAGTATTTTAATATCATTATTTCCATAGAACCAAATATTAACATCCTTTGCCATTGTTTAGAACAAAGGAAGAAATATGTTGGGTGTGAACTTTATTTTATTCCAGTTATTAAAAAAATTTTTTTAATGTTCACTGATTTTTGAGACACGGAGTGTGAGCGGGAGAGGGGCAGAGAGAGAGGGAGAGACAGAACCCGAAGCAGGCTCCAGGCTCTGAGCTGTCAGCACAGAGCCTGACGCGGGGCTCGAACTCATGAACCATGAGGTCATGACCTGGGTTAGGGTTAGGCTTAGGGTTAGGGTTAGGGTTGAGCCTGGGGGACCATTCCCGGCACTGGACAACCTTTGGGCAACTCATGTTTTCCTCTGTACCTCATTTTTCCTCCACGGCCGTGGATGGGGGACATAGACCAGTATGATGCCAGGCTTTAACCCTTTAGGTGCTGGCGAGTGGAGAAGTCCGGGGAGTTCTGGGGGCGGGCCTTGGAGGCATCAGCACAAGTTATTTATAAACCGGCATGAAGGTATTGTCCTATTTTAACAACCAGCTAAATGTCAACTGTGAGTATGCCAGCAGAAATGTTTGAAGAGCGGGGTGCCTGGGTGGCTCAGTCGGTTGAGTGTCTGACTTCGGCTCAGATCATGATCTCTGGGTCCCAAACATGAGTTCGAGCCCCGCAACGGGCTCTGTGCGGTCAGTGCTAAGCCTGCTTTGGATCCTCTGTCCCCTTCTCTCTCTGCCCCTACTGCATTCGTTCTCTCTCTCTCTCAAAAATAAATAAACCTTTGGGGAACCTGGGTGGCTCAGTCAGTTAAGTCCCAATTTTGGCTCAGGTCATGGTCTCACGGTTTGTGGGTTCGAGCCCCACATCGGGCTCTGTGCTGACACCTCAGAGCCTGGAGCTTCCCTTGGATTCTGTGTCTCCCTCTCTCTCTGTCCCTCCGTCACTCACACTCTGTCTCTCTCTCTCAAAAAATGAATAAACATTAAAAATTTTATTTTAGGGGTGCCTGGGTGGCTCAGTCAGTTAAGCATCCAGCTTAGGCTCAGGTCATTATCTCACAGTTCGTGGGTTCGAGCCCCATGTCAGGCTCTGTGCTGACAGCCAGCTCAGAGCTGGGAGCCTGTTTCAGATTCTGTATCTCCCTCTCTCTCTGACCCTCCCCTGCTCACACTGTGTGTGTGTGTGTGTGTGTGTGTGTGTCTGTGTGTGTGTGTCTGTGTGTGTGTCTCTCTCTCAGAAATAAATAAAACATTTTTTAAAAATTAAAAAAAATTATTTTAATTAAAAATAAAAATAAATAAACAGGCCTTTAAAAAATGTGTCAAGACCACTTCCCATAACAAGGGACCAGGGGGACAGATTTGGGGGTTCATGACACCCTCTGGGACGCAGCCCTGGAGCCTGGGAGCACCAGCCCACACGCCTACTGACCTGCTTCTCTGCCCTTCTTTGCCCACAGGTTATGAGGTGACAGTGCTGGTGCGGGATGCCTCCAGGCTGCCCCCAGAGGGGCCCCAGCCAGCCCACGTGGTAGTGGGTGACGTTTTGCATGCGGCTGATGTAGACAAGACCGTGGCTGGGCAGGACGCTGTCATCGTGTTGCTGGGCACCCGCAATGATCTCAGTACTGAGCCCCCTCTCTGCCCACGGCCCACCCCTGCACCTCGGCCCCCAGCGCCACCCCCGCCCCCGGCCCCACCCCTGCCACCCCCGCCACCACCGCCACCTGCTAGTGACTGCCACTCTCTGTCCTCTCTAAGGTCCTACCACAGTTATGTCCGAGGGCGCCCGGAACATTGTGGCGGCCATGAAGGCCCATGGTGTGAACAAGGTCGTGGCCTGCACCTCGGGTGGGTGGTGGGATCGTAGGGATGGGGCTGAAGGGTGGGCGTGGGGGGTGAATAGGTACTGGACAGGCAGCCAAGGGGCTTTGGAGCCATCCAAATGCAAGGAGCCAACACAAGTTGGCATTGGAGCCGTCTCAAGTTACTGTGCACTTACTGAGCATCGACTGTGTGCGGGAACCTTGCTGGGTGATGCTAGGGACACAGTGGTGACCAATAAAGCCCTGGGCCCTGTATTCATGGGTCTCACAGACGGGAGGGAAGCGGTAAACAGGCCCCTCACCACACACAGTGTGATAGGCCAGAGTAGTCAGGGCCGAGATGAAGCAGCACAGGCAGAAGGGTCAGGGCCAGAACAGGGGCGGCCTAGAGGACTCTGGAAGCCCAGAGGAGGCACCTGACCCAGCCAGCCCGAGAGAGGGGCAGAGAAAGCCTCCGATCAGAAATGACAGAGCCATGAATACATGGACCCGCTCCCTACCCTCACAGAGCTCCCAGTTTATGAGGAGATGGACATTAAACAACCCGTGTCTCAAATAATCCAAAAGACAGTACAGGCAACAGGCATAACAAGAGCAGTGAATGCTAACAGCATTCAGTGAGCACTTACTGTGTGCTAGGCACCATCTGAGTACCTTAGGGAGGAGTGCCACTTAATCGTCACAAAATTCTGAGTATTTATACTCCTAGTGGCACATAGTAGGTGCTCAGTTAACAATAGCTGTTCTTTTTTAAAAAAATTTTTGTTAATGTTTTTTTATTTATTTCTGGGGGGCGGGGGGAGAATCTAAAGCAGGCTCCAGGCTCTGAGCTGGCTGTCAGCACAGAGCCCGACGCAGGGCTCGAACCCACGAACCATGAGATCATGACCTGAGCTGAAGTCGGACGCTTAACCGATTAAGCCACCCAGGCGCCTCAATAGGAGCTGTTCTTATGCCTCCCTTGTATGGAAGGGAGTGGGTGCACGGGGAGACCCACTGGCTGACCTGCGTTCACACAGGCTGTGGAACCACGGCCTCCACACGTTGCCTTCATCCTCCCCAGGGAGGAACCCACTAAGGAAGGGCAGAGGGATCAGCAATTGCGAAGGCTCAGAGGTGCGAGCGTGGCTGGGGCAGAGTGAGTGAAAGAGAGTGTCGGGCACTCAGGTCAGGGGGCTAATGGTGCCAGATCTGGTGGGGCCTCGTGGGCCCAGCTGGGGACTCCGCTTTTACCGCGAGTGAGGCGGGGCCGCAGGTGAGCTCCAACCCTCTGGGTGTGCACAGGCCCCGTTGGCTGTGAGCAGCGAGCAGGTAGGGGGGTGGGGGAGGGGGAAGACCAGGGAGGAGGCTGCTGACCCAGCCAGGAGGCAGGTGGGGAGACAGGGTCAGCCCTTACACATGGCCGTGAGAACGGAAGCCGGGACAACTGGGAGGCAGTGGGGAGCCCCCGCAGGGTTTCGTCCTGGCATAAGACCGGCAGGCTGTGGACCTGGCCAGGCTGTCATTAAGCCCTGGCTTACCCTGCCTTGTGTCCCCCAAGCCTTCCTGCTGTGGGACCCGGCCAAGGTGCCCCCGCGACTGCAGGACGTGACGGATGACCACATCCGGATGCACAAGGTGCTGCAGGAGTCTGGCCTAAAGTATGTGGCTGTGATGCCGCCACACATAGGTAAGTGGGGCTGGCACCCGGGGGCGGGGTTGCCACCAGCCTGTCCCCTCCCGTCAGATGATGAGATCTGCCAGGCCTTCCCTGGCCTGTGTAAAATCGCAAACCTTCCCCCTGCGCTTTCTATCCTCTTTATTGCTTGAGTGTATCTCCTTTCTAACACCCTTTTCTGTGACCTCTGTTTAACCAACCACCCCAAATTTAGAAATGTAAAACAACCCTTATTTAGGATTCTTTTTTAATTTTTTAAATGTTTATTCATTTTTTTGAGAGAGAGAGAGCGTGAGTGGCAGAGGAGAAGAGAGAGAGAGAGACACAGAACCTGAAGCAGGCTCCAGGCTCTGAGCTGTCAGCACAGAGCCCAACACGGAGCTTGAACTCATGAACCACGAAATCACGACCTGAGCCGAAGTCAGACGCTTAACTGACTGAGCCACCCAGGCATCCCCTTATTTAGTATTTTATTTATTTTTGAGAGAGACAGAGCGCAAGCAGGGGAGGGGCAGAGAGAGAGGGAAACACAGAATCCAAGGCAGGCTTCAGGCCCTGAGCTGTCAGCACAGAGCCTGAGACGGGGCTCAAACTCAGGAGCTGTGAGATGATGACCTGAGCCAAAGTCAGAAGTTTAACTGACTGAGCCACCCAGGCGCCCCTGTCTTATTTTGCTCACAGCTGTGTTCCTAGTGCCCAGAGCAGGGCTTGGCATGAGGTAGATGTTCAGTAAATATGTCAGGTAAATGATATTTCAGGGTGCTGGTGTGGAGAGAATCAATAAACCATACCTATACCATCTTTTCTTCTCCCAGGGCTGGAATCCACCTTGAGAGAGACACAGGGAGAGTCAGACACAGGGAGAGACTCATTCATTCATTCATTCCACAAATTCCTTCTATATGCAAATGTCTCTTGCATATGAAGTGTGTCCCCTTCCAGGTGAAAATCCCAGCCCCCAGCACTGTGTGGACTTCAGGCCTGAGGTTTCTGTCCCTCAGTTTTCTCATCTCTGAACAGGGCTCATAATATTGCTTCCTGACCTCCAGGGTTTGAAGTGAAACCCAGAGATATCATGCCTAAAATTTATTCAACACAATACCTTTTTTTAGTTAGTTGTTTTTGGTTTGTTTGTTGTTTTTCTTTTGTAGTGTGTGTGTAAAAACTTTGAAACCTCCAGAAAAGTTGAAGCCATTAAAGGTTTATGAAAATCCGTAAGCCCTTCATCTGGATTCAATTACCATTCTGCTGTTTCCTTTATCTTTTGTACACTCATGTAATACATGAGTGCATGTGTGCAATATATTTGTGCATGTATCTAGTGTGTATATGTGATATACATGTGCAGTATATATATTTTTTATAATATGTGTGCATATATACATATTTAAATTTTTTTTGGCTGAAATGAACCATTTGAGAATAAGTTGCAGACATCATCACATTTCACTCCTAGAACTTTGATAGGCATCCCCCAAGATGATACATCTTTGGGAATGACCCACAGCACCATTATTGCATCAAGGGAATGGACATTAACTCTACCACGCCATTTAGTGTCCATTCCATATTTAAATTTTTCTGATTGTTAAAAAATATTGGGGAGCCTGGCTGGCTCAGTCAGAAGAGCCGTGACTCTTGATTTTGGGGTTGTGGGTTCGAGCCCCATGTCGGGTGTAGAGATTACTTAAAAATAAAAATTTTAGGGGTGCCTGGGTGGCTCAGTTGGTTAAGCATCCGACTTCGGCTCAGGTCATGATCTCACAGTTCGGGGGTTCGAGCCCCATATCCAGCTCTGTGCTGACAGCCAGCTCAGAGACTGGAGCCTGTTTCAGATTCTGTGTCTCCCTCTCTCTCTGACTCTCCCCTGCTCATGCTGTCTCTCTCTCTCAGGGGAAAAAAAAAAATTAAAAAAATTTTTTAAATAAAATTTTTAGGGCCACGTGAGTGGCTCAGTCGGTTAAGCATCCAACTCTTGGTTTAGGCTCAGGTCATGATCTCACGAGTCATGGGATTGAGCCCTGTGTCACCAGGGAGCCCAATTGGGATTCTTCTCTCCCTCTCCCTCCCTTTCTCTCTCTCTAGAGATAGAGAGAGAAATAGAGGAGATAGATATTTCAACCTCCCCTCCCTACAAGGTCAGGATCTCACCAAGGATCATGTCTTGAATCTGGAACAATTCTCCATCTCTCTTTTTAAAAATATGTCTCCTAGGGGCGCCTGGGTGGCCCAGATGGTTAAGCGTCCAACTTTGGCTCAGGTCATGATCTCACAGTTCATGAGTTTGAGCCCCGCGGCAGGCTCTGTGCTGTTAGCGCAGAGCCCGCTTTGGATCCTGTCTCCCTCTCTCTCTGCTCCTCCCCCACTTGGCACTCTCTCTCTCTCAAAACTAAATAAACATTGAAAAAAATTAAAAATATGTCCCATAAAATTAACTAAGCCAGGACTCTTTCTAAAATCCCATGTTCTGGATTTCTCTGCTTGTTTTCTCCCAGGCTCAGATTAAACATGGTTGGAAGGAATGCCACTTGGGTGAGGGTGTGTCCCCGCACTGGCAGGCTGTATTTGATCCCTAAATGAAGTTGGTCACTGTCATAATACAGCCAAGAGATGCCCTCCTAACAGCCAAGTTATGCCTCTAGACGGAAGGACCCAGAGCAAATCTAGCTTTTGCCCCTGGGAAGTCCACCTTTGCAACCCGGGGAAGTAACTGCAAAGTAAAGATTCAGTTCGTCCATCTGTAAAATAGTCCTGAGCCCGTTCTCTGCTGTTTCTCTCCATGTAACACATTGTCTGTTTTACTCCCTTGTCTGTTGCCTTTTCCTAGGAAATGCCTACGTGCAAAGAGCAAGAGTTCTTGTCCGTTTTGCGCCTTGCTGGGTGCCCAGCACCTGACTCATAATAGGCCATCGATGAGGATTTATCAAATGAATGAAGTTAGGGGTAGAGATTGGCATCCTGTTCATGGGGAGGGTTTCCTACAGGGTTAGCTCCTATACCCTCTGGGCTGGGCACGCAGTAAGCACCCTGGAGTGATCACGTGTTGTCGGAAGGGGGAAGGGACATCTGCTTCACCCATTCCCTGTGTCTTTACCTTGCAGGAGACCAGCCGCTGACTGGGGCCTACTCAGTGACCCTGGATGGACGAGGGCCCTCAAGGGTCATCTCCAAGCACGACCTGGGCCACTTCATGCTGAGCTGTCTCACCACCGATAAATACGACGGGCACAGCACCTACCCCTCCCACCAGTACGACTAGGGACCTCACCTCATCCCGGAGGACAGCATTCTGAGAAATGGGGAGAACAGAGGAAAGGAGCAATAAATCTTGAGCCCAGAGCTTCACATTGTTCTAGAAGACTCAACTCTGTGACTCTTCCTCGGTCTGGCTTTGTCTGGCTGATTCAGTGTCTCTAGCTGCCTCTGTGTAAGATTTGCATTAATTTCCTCATCTGGCCCTGTGTGGAGTCCAGGTGAGGACTATGAGGACCCCCCGGGGTGACCCTCCCTTCACAGATCTCACAGTCCAGTGAGGAAGACACCCCTGCCCGTGACAGTGACAACCCAGAGTGGCCAGGGCTCTGAAGGAGGAAGACCCAGAGGGCTGACGGAACTACCTGAGTGGGCTTGAGGAGCAAACAAGTTAAATAGACTTGGCTCGGAGGGGAGGAGTGATAAGCCCCAAGAGGTGTTACATGGAAGCTAAATTGTGCAGAATCATTGCAAAAAGCTTGAGCTGTATTCTGAGCTTCTATGCTAGGACGGAAGCAGGAGAGGGGTGGGGAGGGTCGCAGTCAGGTTTATATGTTCTACAGCTGCCCTTGACTCCTATGTGAATGTGGATCAGAAGTGTGCAAGAGTGGAAGCCAGAGCCCCAGGGCACCAAGACAGAATAGGGCAAGAGAGTGGGGGTGAGCAGAGCGGACAGTCCATGATGGAGGGGAGAGAGGATGCATGAGACCGGAACTCTGAGATGCGGGCCCTGGAAGAGGGGCAGGATTGGGGGGGGAGGGGGGAAGAATGGCCCTTTCCTAATCATGTCCCGCTTTGGAATCTACTGTCCCCCCCCCTTTTTTTTTTTTAAATATTTTATTTATTTCTAGGAGACAGAGAGAGAGACAGCGTGAGCAGGGGAGGGTCAGAGAGAGAGGGAGTCACAGACTGAAACAGGCTCCAGGCTCTGAGCTGGCAGTCAGCACAGACCCCGACGCGGGGCTCGAACCCACGAAACGTGAGATCATGACCTAAGCGAAAGTCGGACGCTTAACCAACTAAGCCACCCAGGAATCTACTGTCCCCTGCCCATGTTCCCCAGAGACACTGTTCCCAGGTGTGAGTGGTCCACTCCTCTCTCCCTACTTCCCAGTGTCCCCCACCTACCCACCTAACCCCTTCTCCCTTCCCCTCCAAAAAAAAAAAAAAATTCTCATTCCAATCATATATTGCTTCTGCAAGCAGCAGAATGACTGGATGACAAAATTCCAACCGGTGAGAACTGGTCTGAGGAGGCTTAAACCTCCCTTCCCTGGAGCAGCCTGGAGAAAACTCCCTCCCCCACCTCTTGGTGAAACTTTTTTGAGAGTAGGGCAATCCTGGTTCGGGGCACTAGCTCAGGGTTTTTTGTTTTTTTTTTTAGTTTTTTTTCCTGCCCTGTTTCTCCTCCTGTTACATTGGGCATTTAAAGAACTTGCACTTGATGCCTCCTTTGTGTCCACGCGCTGGGTGATGCCATGGACCAAGCGCCGGCCGGCCGAGATAACCTTGGTACCAGCCCTCAGGGCCAAGAATGGGAGACATGGGCAGAGGGGTCAGGGCCAGGATGGGGGAAGCCCAGGACACCATGGGAGCCCAGAATGGTCATAAACCCACTCAGAGCATCAAGGGAAGGCTTCTGAGAGGAGGAAACCTTTGAGATGAGACCTGGTGAGAGGCGGCCTGGGAAGTGAAGGTGGTGTTTTCAGGATGGGGAAATTGAGTTTAAAGATCCAGAGGCCCTTTATTGTCAGTTTTGAGTACTTGCTATGTACCTAAAGCACTGGGGATAAGGCAGGGAAGAAAACAGACCAAATCTGTGTTTACAGTGGGGGCGGGCACTCGCAGTCATTTTAGAAAAACTGAAAGTCAAATCTGTGGTCGGATCACAGGGAGCAAGGAGTGCGTGTCAGGCCAGACCCTGAAGGGCTTTGTGGCAAAAGGGAGGAGTTTGGACTTTGTCCCAGGGGAGTGGCGAGCAAGGAACGAGTTCCCAGCGGTGCCAGCCTGAGAGGGGAAGGACTGGGCGTCGGGGGTTGCAGGACAGACCGGCACAGGACGTGCAGAGAAGTCCCGAAGATTAAGAAAGGGGCCTCGGGCTAAAGTACTGAGAGGGCGGGAGCACAGGAACTGGGCTGCGATCGCCCAGGCAACGTAGGCCGCGCCAAACTATTGGCTAGTCTTCGGCTACGTTATCCATCTCCGCCCAGCCGCGTCCGCCCTCGGAACCCCGGGGGCGCGGCCTCCGCGAGTGGCTCAGCCCCGCCCGCCCGGAAAGCAGGGTGAGGAGGGGCGTGCCGACCAGCCTAGCTCCCCAACGGGGTCCTCACCTGGTATAAGGGAATCGCAGAGAGCAATGTTGACGACTTTGGAGGGAGGACAGTGGCTGAGTTGAAGGAGACAGTTCTGACGTCCCCGCCACCCTCCACCCTAGAGACGTGGCCCCGCCCCCGGGCTAGTCGGAATCCTTTAAAAGGTCTAGGGTGTAAGGAAAGGGAGGGTCGGTCGAGCGTCTCCTGGCGACGGACCGGTGGCTCCACCCAGCCAATCCGCGCCCCGCGGCGGGCAGGGCTCCAGCCAATCGCGACTCGCGGTTCGGCTCCTGGGCGGAGCTGGGTGGGCCGGAGGCCAAACCGAGAGGCCCTGGGGAGGTGAGCGAGGCTCGTACCCAGCACTGTTGGGTCGTAGAGCTGCGGACGTCCCACGACTTGGTCATTGCGAATCTGGCAGCTGAGGTGAGAGACAGAGAGAGAGGCCACCTGGCTTGAGATTTGCCTTGGGTTAGGGGAGGTGGAGGCGCGCCCCCCAAGAGTTGTGGAGGCGGGGTCTGGGCGTGAGTCGGGGGGCCCAGATAAGGGTGACTGATAGGGCTGGTGGGGCTTAGGGACTGGCTGAATTCGAGATCCCGCACTGAAGGCGAAGTTGTTGGGGGCAAGATCTTCAAGTGGAGGGAGTTTGAAGCTGGGACACGGGATGTTTGGAGAAGCGAGAGAACCGAGGAAGGAACTTTTCGGGCAGGAAATCTGGAGATTAGGACAATTCGTGTCTCCCGGGCGGGTTGAATTCGGAGCTCTAGTGTTCTGGAAAAGCTGTGAGGGGTTGGGGCTGGGATCCGGGCTTTTGGAAAAACGGAGACAACCTACGAGCAAGGAATCTTGGTGAAGGAGACGCAGTGGCGGAGAGAAGGTGCTGGGGAGAGTCCCGTGTTCAGGTCTTGGGGTCAGAGGGAGAGTTTGGAGGTGAAGTCGAAAGGCATTTGAAAGACAGGAGAATAGGGGAAAGTTGACGGCTGAAGGTATCAGAATTAGTCTCCCAAACGGAGTAAATCAGAGAGCATTTGTAGTTTTTGAGCGATGTGTTGGGGGTTGAGTCTCGACCCGAGAGCAGTTTTGAGAAAGAATGTAGGACCTTCTTGGGGTGCGAAACCCGAGAGAAAGCAGTTTTAGGGCTGGAGTCTGGGGTGGGGGAGGGGCGTTCCGGGCGTGGAGCTCAGACCCGCAGCCCTTGAGGCAGCAGAGGGCGGGGCTCGGCAGGCGCCGGGCAGCTGGACGTCCGGGTTCCCTTCCCCCACCCGCCCTGGGCCCATGTGCGCATGCCCTGAGGGAGGGCGGGGGATGTTCGTCCCAAAGGCGTGCGGAGCCCTCTGGGGATTGTAGTGCACGCTCAACGCTAATGCACGTGCCAGGCGGCTCTTGGCCCACATTTCCCAGAAGCCCCTGGGCCAAATTGTTGCCTGCTTGGTCGTTGAATGGAGATCCAGGGAGAAGGCGGGGTCTGGCGTTGAGTCGAGTTTTAGCAGCTTTCCCTGTGGGGCCGCGCTTCGGGGGAAGCCGAAGGCGCCGCCTCAGAGAATGAGGGAGGCTCCTTCCCTGCCCTTCGGAGCGCTCCCAGTCGCTTAGGAAGAGGGCATGATCAGAAATACACTCCCTGTAAAAGCAGAGTCGCGACAAATAAGTGTCCTAAAAGGGCTCCGGTGGCTCCAGTACAACAGGCAGCAATAGGTAAATATTGAATGAGCAAATAGCATTAAATTCTTGTTCGTAAGGCGTTAACTGTGGGTACCGTGTGTATTACACGCGGGATCTCCTTGAGAATATGGTGAGAATTTTTACATTCCTCATTTTACAGATGGGGAAACTGAGACCCCGAGAGGTACTGTCACATAACTTAACAAAGATCAAACAGCTGAGCAGTGTCAAAGGCAGAATTCAAACCCAGGTTTGCCTGCCTCCAATCCAGGTCTCCGTACCCCACAGCTGTCATACGTGACACTTGTGAAGAAATGAGTGTTGTAGAAAGAACAGCTTTAAGACTCAGGGACTTGAATCGGGATCCTCATCTTGCAGCTGAGGTAACTGAGTCTCAAGGAGGCAAATTTCACTATTCAAGGCCACACAGGCAAGTAAGTGGGGGGGGGGGGGTGTGTGCAAACGCACCTATGTTTTGATCCAGATCTTGTTTTCTTAATCATGTACATTTAGTCTCCTCCTCAACCCTGTGGGATTCATATCATGTCCATTTGAGAGATGAGGAAACAGGTTCAGATCCCAAAAATGAGCCAACAACCAGGGGTGCCTGGGTGGGTGGCTCTGTCGGTTAAGTGTCTTGACTGTATATCTCCACCCAGGTTTGGATCTCAGGGTCCTGAGTTCAAGTCCCACAGTGGGCTCCACACTGGGCGTGGAGTCTGCTTAACCACAAAACAACCATACAGGAAATGGGGGATTCGGACTAGCCCTAGACCCACCGTGTCTGCCTTGCCCCTCTTCTCTCCCCAGGGCATCATGGTGGGAGGCTTGAAGAGGAAACACTCCGATTTGGAGGAGGAAGAGGAGGATGAGAAGTGGGACTGGGGCCCAGCAAGCCTGCGGAGCCACCAGCAAGCGCTGCTTCGAATCTCCTTAGACAAAGTCCAGCGAAGTCTGGGCCCCCGCGCACCCAGCCTGCGCAGGCACGTCCTTATCCACAATACCCTCCAGCAGCTCCAGGCCGCCCTTTGCCTCGCTCCAGCGCCCGCGCTGCCCCCTGAGCCCCTCTTCCTGGGCGAGGAGGACTTCTCCCTGTCGGCCACCATCGGCTCTATTCTCAGGGAACTGGAGACCTCCATGGACGAGTCAGAGTCCCCTCAGAATCCAGTGGCTCCCCCGGGCCCCCAGAACCAAGTGCTGCCCCAGCCTGATCCAGTCTTCTTGGAAGCCCTGAGCTCCCGGTACCTGGGAGACTCCGGTCTGGATGACTTCTTTCTGGACATTGACACGTCTGCGGTGGAGAAGGAACCTGCGCTGGCCCCGGCGGAGCCTCCTCACAACCTCTTCTGTGCCCCAGGGTCCTGGGAGTGGAATGAACTTGATCACATTATGGAAATCATTCTGGGGTCCTAACACTTTGGGGGCGGGGGGCTCTTCATCTCATCCTCAGTGGGCTGGATCCCTGGATACAGCTCCGTGTGTGTGTGTGTGTGTGTGTGTGTGTGTGTGTGTGTGTGTTTTGGCAGGGGCTCTAAGCAGTGCCCGTGGCCTCCTTTTCTCCCAGTTCAGGGTTCCACAAACCATCTTGCGTGTGTGTGTGTGTGTGTGTGTGTGTGTGTGTGTGTGTGTGTGTTGTGTCTGTCTGGTTACCACAGCCTTCTGTGAAGGTGGGTCTTCCTGAATTAATTTATCTGTTCCAGATGCCTTAACGGACTCTGTTTCCGGGAGTCTGGTTCCCCACTTCCCACATTTCTTCTGCCTTTCCCTCCAGTTCCTCCTCCCCTGGTGACCACTGGGGCCTCAGGGAAGATAAAGCTGGGCCTGTCCGATGATGGCCGGGATGTGCTGACTGGTTGCTATGGGAACTCAGACTTTGCCACTTGCGGCTCGAGGGAGCAGGAGGGGCGGACCTCCTCCCCCCAGGGTTGAACCCCACCTCATTTTGGCAAGACCCCAGTTGCAGCAGCCTCCTGATCCATAACCAGGCCGGACCACGTGCAATAGGGTGGAAACCAAACCTCTCCATGCTACATTATTTAAAAGAAAGGCGGGTTTTGTGGTGGGTTTTTTGATTTTTTTGATTGTTTGTAATGGCTTTTTTTTTTTTTTTTTAATAAAAGTATTTTGGAAGGGGTGATGTTGCCTAAAGTTTCTAAACGCCAGCAGGTCAATGAGAGGGACCTGGTAAGTTCCCTGGGCACATGCACCCCCTACCAAAGTTGGGGCAGGCATATTATTCAACATGTACTGAGTACTTGTTAAGAGTACTGTCCTATCCACTTTGTTTGAATTAGGTCACTTAATCTTCATAACAATACAGAATTCTGTTAACCGGTTTTACATAGGAGGAACCTCAAGTTCAGAGAAGCCAGATTACTTGCTCCAGGTCACAGAGCAAGGAAAGCTAGGACTCAAAGTCACTCTGCCTCCAGGAACTGCTTCTCAATTATTGTGTTTTGCATACACTTAAGCTCCCCAGCCACATGGGTGCACACCGGGAGAATAAACTGAGTCCCGTGAATTCCCAGACTATCAAAGGATAGGTAACTCTAGCATCTAAAAGTCCTTTCCTTCATTGTATGCCGTGTATTGATGGGGCCCAGAGGGGAAAGAAGATGCCCAAAGATAGTCTGCATTAAGAATAGATCTTTCTAGGGTCTCTTGGGTGGCTCAGTGGGTTAAGTGTCTGACTCGATCTCAGCTCAGGTCATGATGTCACACAGTTTGTGAGTTTGAGCTACGGGTCAGTTGGTCCCTGCCCGGACAGAGGGGAGCCTGCTTGGAGTTCTCTCTCCCTCTCTGCCCCTCCCCAAGTTGTGTTTTCTTTCTCAAGCTTAAAAAATTTTGGAAAAAAAAATGTTCTTTCTAGAAAACTGTTGGCTAGGAAGCAGAAACTGAAGTTAAAGTGCTAAGGATTTGGGGCTCTCAGGTAGCTCAGTAAGTTAGGTGTCCGGGTTAGGGACCGGCTTCAGCTCAGGTCATGATCTCGCGGTTCGCGGGATCGAGCCCTGCATCGGGCTCTGTGCTGACAGCTCAGCCGGAGCCTGCTTCGGATTCTGTGTCACCTCTCTGCCTCTCTCTCGCTCTCTCTCGTTCTCTCTCAAATACACATTTAAAGTGCTAAGGATTTATTTGGGAAGTACAAGCCCAGGTTTGTGAGAGGAGAAAAGAGGGAGGCCAGGAAGATGCAATGCTGCTGTACTGGCCAAGCCTCTGCAAAGACCTTTGAAGACGTGCAGCAGGTGAGTTTACACAGCATTAGGGACTTTTCTAGAAGGTCTGCAAAGAGGAACTACACGGGGGTGGAGTCCACAGGCAGGGAAAGGAGGGGGATTTTGCTTGTGCTTTCTGACCCAAAGCCAAGGTTCTCAACTTGAGAGGGGCTTCACATCTAAGTCTGAAAGCATTGGGATAGCTGACAAGTGCCTACTGAGAGAGAAGAGATGGTCAGGAGATCCTAAGGGGACGTATGTTTCACATCTCAATGTGGATGCCCATTGGATCATGTCTGTCTCCTACTTAAAACTCTTGGTGACTTCTCACACTCAATAAAACCCCAACCATGGAGCGCCTGGGTGGCTTAGTCAGTTAAGCGTCCGACTTTCGCTTAGGTCATGATCTCGCGGTCCATGGGTTCGAGCCCCGCGTCGGGCTCTGTGCTGACTGCCAGCTCAGAGCCTGGAGCCTGTTTCAGATTCTGTGTTTTCCTCTCTGATCCTCCCCTGCTCACACTGTCTCTCTCCTAGAAATAAATAAAAATATTAAAAAATAAATAAATAAAAATAAAACCCCAACCTCACCAAGGCCTGCGAGACAGCAATCTTGGGGCACCTGGGTGCTTCATTCGGTTAAGCAGTCGACTCTTGATTTGGGCTCAGGTCATGATCTCTGCATTTATGAGATCGAGCCCCCACGTTGGGCTCTGCGCCGACAGCAATGAATCCCGACTTAGGGTTCATTCTCCTCCCCTCCCTCTCTCTCAAAATTAATAAACATAAAAAATGGGGGTGGTACCTGGGTGACTCAGGTGCCCAACTTCAGATGAGGTCATAATCTCACAGTTCACGAGTTTGAGCCCCGTGTCAGGCTCTGTGCTGTCAGCCTGGAGCCTGCTTCAGATTTGATGTTTTCCTCTCTCTGATAAACATACGTTAAAAAAAATTTTTTTTTTTAAATAAATAAAAGACTGCTCCTAACTTCCCCAGTTGAATCTCCCATCTTCCTCACCTCCAGTCACCCTGGTCTCTTTTGACCCTAAGCTCATAACCACCCCAGGGCCTTTGCACTTGTTAATGGCCCAGAGAGTATTTCCCCTCTAGCTTCACCGATATAAATGTCCCTTTCTCAGAGAGGTCTTCTCTACCCTTCCTAGCTCAACATATCTGGGTGTATTATCGACCCACCACATTGTTTGATTTTCTTAGTAGCACCTATCCTACCTCAAGTTATTTATTATGTGTATGTTTAGCCTCCTGGTCTATAAAAACTCTGAGAGGGAGGGGTTTTGCCAGCCTTGGCCCAGCTGTATGCCTGGTGTATAGAACTATGCTTGGTACAGGTGTGCACTCAAAAACAATTTTTTTGGCTATTGTTTAAAAAAGGATTTTTTGGGGGGCGGGCACCTGGGTGGCTCAGTCGGGTAGGCATCTGACTTCGGCTCAGGCCATGATCTCACAGTTCGTGGGTTCGAGCCCCGCGTCGGGCTCTGTGCTGACAGCCAGCTCAGTGTCTGGAGCCTGCTTCAGATTCTGTGTCTCCCTCTCTCTCTGACCCTCCCTTGCTCATGCTCTCTCTCTCTCTCAGAAATAAATAAAACATTTAAATTTTTTTAAAAAATTTAAAAATAAAGTATTTTTTAATCTTTATTTTTGAGAGAGAAAGAGCGAGCATGAACGGGGGAGGGGCAGAGAGAGAAAGACACAGAATCCTTAGCAGGCTGGGAGCTGTCAGCACACAGCCCAATGCGGGACTCGAACACACAAAGTCTAGATCATAACCTAGGCCAAAGTCAGACGTGTAACCAGCTGAGCCACCCAGGTGCCTCTTTTTTTTTTTTTTTTTAATGTTTTCACATATATTTCTAGGAGAGAGAGAGACAGTGTGAGCAGGGGAGGGTCAGAGAGAGAGGGAGTCACAGACTGAAACAGGCTCCAGGCTCTGAGCTGGCAGTCAGCACAGAGGCCGACGCGGGGCTCGAACCCACAAACCGCGAGATCGTGACCTAAGCGAAAGTCGGACGCTTAACCGACTAAGCCACCCAGGTGCCCCTAGGCGCCTCTTTCTTGGCTATTGTTGAAAAAAATGAACTGACCTCACACCGGTCAACCCTCCCTCTTACCTCTATGAATTCATCTTCCTCACCCCCTCCTCACTACTATGCTCCGGGCATACCATTCTCTACAGTTCTTCAAACAAACCAGCATGTCCCAATCTGAAGTCATACCTGCCTCACTGAGCGATTGTGCAAACTGAAAAGGAGCGCCTGATGCACACCGAGGATTCCAGTAAGTGCTCAAACTTGCAGAGCGCCTACTGCGGGCCTGGTGCTCTTCCGGGCATATGAATAAAACAGACGCTCCTGCTCTCATACAGCATCGCAGTTGGGGAAGGCGGCAAAACACACGAAATAACTAAAACGGAGCGTCTGCCGGGTGGTGACAAATGCTGTAGACAAAAAGAAAGCAGGAGAGTGACGGGGGCGAGGGGGGAGTTGCGATTTCAACGGGAAGGCTAGGGAAGGCCTCACTTGTCACTGACACGGTGACATTTGAGTAAAGACCTGTGGGAGGGGAGAAGTGAGTCATGCCAATCTGTGGGGGAACGGATGTCGATGTTGGCAGAGGTAACAGCCGGTGCAAAGGCCCTGAGGTGGGAGCCTGAGTGGGGTGTTTTAGGGCTGTAAAGAGGTCGGTGTGGCTGGAACAGTGTGCAAGAAGAGAGCACCCTAGGAGATGAGGTGAAAAAGATGTACGGTCTTGAGGGGCTGAGCTTTACCGAGTGAGACGGAAGCCATGAGAGGCTGTTGAGCAGAAGAGGATCGAGACCTGACTCCCCCGCTCTTTTTTTTTTTTAATGTTTTTTATTTATTTCTGAGGGAGAGAGACAGCATGAGCAGGGAAGAGGCAGAGAGAGGGAGACACAGAATCCAAAACAGGCTCCCAGCTCTGAGCTGTCAGCACAGAGCCCGACGCGGGGCGCGGGGCTCGAACCCACGAACCGTGAGATCATGACCTGGGCCGAAATCGGACGCTCATCCGACTGAGCCATTCAGGCGCCCCTGACGCCTTTTAATAAGTCCTCTTTCCCCTAAAGATAATCAAATGAAAAGGAATCAAGCAGCTTGCTTGTACCACAGTGAAGCCACTATAAGGAGCACCCCCACTTTCCAGATGAACACACTGAGACTCAAACAGACCCGGTTCCTGCCGCGTTTAAGAGTCTGATGAGAGAAGTGGAAAAGCCGTCCCGTAGAGGCGCCGGGTATCCGAGGGCAGAGGCCACTTTCCCCAAACTGCGCTCTTCCGGCAGCGGTGGGGGGAGGGGGCGCGGCCGCCTCGGGGCGTGGCCGCTGGGCTAGGCCCCGCCCACCCCCACCCCCCCCCCCAGCTGGCGGGGCGGCGGAAGACTTCGGAGGCGGCGGCTGCGGCGGCGGCGGGAGCCTGCCAGGCGCCTGCTCCCTCCCCAGGGGCCGGGTGGGGCGGGGTGGGGCGGCCGGCTGGGGGCGGGGCGCTCCCCTCCCCCTTCCCCCTCCTTCCGCCGCGGGCGGAGCCTCCTCCCCGGGCCTGCGGGGCCCGTGGCTTGCTTGCTGGTTTCGTTTTCCAAGGCCTGACCTCCCTCCTTCTCCCTTCCCCCAGCCTTTTGAATTCCTGGCTCCTGCACTCTCTGGTCTCAGCCCATGTCACCTCCTCAGGGAGGCACTCCTGGAGCACCCCGCCACAGGCCTCCCTATTTTGTTTTCTTCAAGGCACTGAGCAGAGGCCGAAATGGACTTCCTCACGTATTTATTTATCTCCTTGGGTCTCATCCCGCTCAGAAGAAAACAGTGTTCCATAGAGGGCTCTAAACAGCCCAAAAGCTTCTCTGACGTCCCTGGCAACAGACAGTCCAGCCACCTTGGCCGTGCTTCCCGCCCGGCAAACTCCCACCTCAGGGCCTTTGCACTGGCCCTTCCCTCTGGGCCGAACACTCTTCAGAGCCTGACCACCCCTCCCGTTTCATGGGGTCTACTCAGTGTCACCGCTTCAAGGAACTTGCTCCCAGCACCAACCAGCATCCTGTCTACACCGCGCACCCTTTCACTACTCTCCCCCTGCTCTGTTTTATTATTTTCCTTTGCACTTCACCTTCTAAGATACTAAGTAATTTCTCTCTTATAGTAAGTGTATCGTCCACTTCGTCATATCAGGGTTTTTTGTCTCTCTAATTTTACTGCCGTATCAATGTCCTATCATCAGTAGTGTCTGGAACACGGAAGGTGTTTAATCCATGAACGTTTGCAAATCAATGAATGTTTTTGTTTTCATATTTCTTTTCTCTGGAGACTCTGCGACCTCCTTTTCCCCCAAGCCATAAAGATCGGTTTTGGGAGAAATAATGTGAATTTGCCTAGCAGGGCACTGGTTCTGATTAGCATTCTACTCTCCTTTTATTATGAAAAATGCTAAACCTATGGAAAAACTGGGGGAAAATGTATCCTCAGTGGCCGTATAGCCTCCCATCTAGATTTGTTAATAGTTTGTTTCCTTTATCTACATATGTATGTATGCTTATGTATATTTTTTCTTTTGCTGAACCATTGGAAAGGAAATTGTAGACATCTTAACATTCTGCCTCTAATGGCTCAGGAGGCATTTATTTTTTCTTTTGTTTTTTTTTTAATTGGACAAGGAGGGGTTTTTTTAAGTTTATTTTCAGAGCGAGAGAGCAACACATGCAAGCTGGGAAGGGGCAGAGAAAGGGAGAGACAGAATTCCAAGCAGGCTCCAGCGGGCTGCCAGCACAGAGCCCCAGTGAGGGCCTGAACTCACAAACCATGAGATCATGACCTGAGCTGAGATCAAGATTCTGATGCTTAATCGACTGAGCCACCCGGGCACCCTGGCATTTCTTAAGATTAAGGATGCTCGGGGTGCCTGGGTGGCTCCGTCAGTTAGGCATCCAACTTCAGCTCAGGTCATGATCTCATGGTTCCTGGGTTTGAGCCCCGCGTTGGGCTCTGTGCTGACGGCCTGGAGCCTGTTCCGGATTCTGTGTCTGTCTCTCTCTCTCTGCCCCTCCCCCGCTTGAGCTGTCTCTCTCTCAAAGATAAATAAATGTTAAAAAAAAAAAAATAAAGATTAAGGACACTCACCTACAAAGCACAATATTTCATGTCTAACAGAATTAAGAATTCCAGGGGCGCCTGGGTGGCTGAGTCGGTAGAGTGTTGGATTCTTGATTTTCGCTCAGGTCATGATCTCACGGTTTGTGAGTTCTAGCCCCACATCAGGCTCCGTGCTGACAGTTTGGAGCCTGCTTTATATTCTCTCTCTGCTTAAAAAAAAAAAAAAATTTCCAGGGGTGCCTGGGTGGCTCAGTCAGTTAAGGGTCTGACTCTTGATTTCGGCTCAGATCAAGATCTCATGGTGTGGGAGAATGAACCCCATGACCACAGACCCTGCTGACAGCCAGGAGCCTGATTGGGACTCTCTCTCTGCCCCTCCCCTGTGCTCTCTCTCAAAATAAATAAACGTTAGAAAAAAAAAAGAATTAAGAATTCCATAAATCGTCTATATTCAGATTTCCCCCATGAATATCTTTTGTAGCTGTTTCTCCAACACCCCCCCACCCCACCCCCGATCAGGATTCAATGAAGGTTCACATGCTTATTTGGTTGTGATAAAGAACTGATACAGCAATTTTCATTCTGGAAAATCCTCCACCACCAACCCCACCAAACCCTTTTTCTGTTTTCTCAAAATTGAATTTTTGGTAGAACAGCCCAGTCGTGCTGTAGATGTGCCACATTGTGTATTTGTCTGATTGTATTCCTGTTTAATTTGTTCCTCTCCATGCTGAAGGTTAGGTCTAGATGCTTTGTGAGATTCAGTTTATGAAGTTTAACAGGGAAAAAAAAATAATGGAGAGACTCCACAGGGAGTGTTATGTACTTCCTAACGTGTCAATATGGGGTGGCGTCCAGTGTCGGGGTATCCCTCTCTGTGGGTGCAGAGTTTCATTACATGGTTAAGGTGGCGAGTACCACATTTCCACATCATAAAAGGCTACTTCCCCCTTGCAGTTAGCAAGTAACCTGTGGGCTGATGTGTTGGAGACTGCCAAGATCCTGTTAACCTTTCACCCCAAAGTTTAAACACCCATTGATAATTGATGCCCAAATCACCTAGTCGAGTTAGCATTTTCTAGAGCTTACTTTGGCCAGGAGCTTTATTTACAACCAACAATTCTTGCCAGAACTCCAGAAGAGTTAGCAAATAAGCTACTCAGAGAAGCTAAGTCCCATTGTCAGTTTATCAGACAAGTGTTAAAGTCCTATCTACCTATGCCCCACCCTATGCGTCCCCCTCTTGAATTAAGTGCCTGTGCTATTCCAACAGCTGATGCTACCAAAGAAAGGACATGTTGTGCACCATTCTGAGCATTTTGTGTGATTACTCTTTTTAAAAGTATTATTAATTAATGTCTTTGTTTTTAAGTAGGCTCCAAACCCTATTAGGGGCTTGAACTCACGACCCTGACATGGAGAGTGGCGTGTTCTACAGACTGAGCCAACTAGGTGCCTCCTCGCACCCCTTTTTAAAGATTTTATTTTTAGGGGCGCCTGGGTGGCTTAGTCGGTTAAGCGTCCGACTTTCGCTTAGGTCACGATCTCGCGGTTCGTGGGTTCGAGGTTCGTGGGTTCGAGCCCCGCGTCGGGCTCTGTGCTGACTGCCGGCTCAGAGCCTGGAGCCTGTTTCAATCTGTGACTCCCTCTCTCTCTGACCCTCCCCTGCTCATGCTGTCTCTCTCTCTCTCTCTCCTAGAAATAAATAAAACATTAAAAAAAAAATTAAAGATTTTATTTTTAAATAATCTCTACACCCAAGGTGGGGTTTGAACGCACAATCTCAAGATCAAGAGTTGCATGCTCTTCCAACTGAGACAGCCGGGTACCCCTATACGATTATTCGTTTTAATCCTCAAAATAATCTCATTTTAAAGGTGAGGAAACTGTGGGGCACCTGGGTGGCTCAGTTGGTTAAGCTTCTGACTTCAGGTCAGGTCATGATCTCGCAGTTCGTGGTTTCGGGCCCTGGGTTGGGCTCCGTGCTGACAGCTCAGAGCCTGGCGCCTGCTTTGGATTCTGTCTCGTCTCTCTGCCCCTCCCCCACTTGAGCTCTGTCTGTCTCTCTCCTTTTTCTCTCTCAAAAACAAAATGAACATTAAAGGAAAAAATTTTTAAGGTGAGGAAACTGAGACCCGAGGGGATTCAAATATTCGCCCAAAGTCACAAAGCTACTTAGGGCATGAAGCTCAGGATAGGTGACATCAGTGGTATCCACTCCTGGCCCCCATCCACTCCAACTGCCCAGCATACGCTGAGTGTGCTATAGTGCTCTTACAGATACAGCCTTGTTTTAACTTTCCTAGCTCCCAAGAGGTGGGCAAGAAGATGCCCATTTAAGAGACTTCGTATGGCTTAGAGAGGTTAAGCCTTTTTCCAAGGTCACACGTCTAGTGAGTGGTTGGAATTTGAACCCATGCCTATCTGGCTTAGAGTACAGACCCCTGTTAAAAGTTGGGTGTGTAAGAAGCTCAATCGCTGGGTTTGGCAAGTGCATGGGCAGGTGTGAGGGGCCCACACCTTGAGAAGTTAAAAACCTCCCCCCGCCACTGTCCCGCAGGGAAATTGGCCACCCAACCTGGCCAAGTCCCCGCACACAGCAGCCAGGCATGCGCCCTGAAACCAACCTCCCCTCCCTTCGAATCTTCCCTCTTTAGGCTCCGCCCATGATTGTCCAGGCCCAATCGCTGGGTGAGGGGCGGGGCCTCTACGGGAGTGGGCGGTAGTTAAGGAGAGTCAGGAGCCTGGAGTCGTGCGCCGGAGTCAGAACTGCGTCTCACGACCTAGGCGCCGGTTGCTGAAGGAGAGCGAGCGAGCGATGCTGCCGTCGCCGCTTCCTGATTGGCTGCGCGTTGATCCCTCTTCCTTCTGATTGGCAGCGGGTGAGCTAGGTATGTAAATGAGGTGAAGGGGCCTGAGGAGAGAAGGGAAACCCTTGGCGGGGTCGTATGGCAGGTTCGATCCCCGGGTCCTGCCGGTGCGCGCCGGGGCTGCCCGGGATCGAGATGCGCGGGCCTCTGAGTGTCGCCAGGCCGGGTTGGGTGAATCACGTCGCAGACCGGGAAGGGGGCGGAGGCGCCGGCTCTCTGGCTCCGGCTGCGTGACTCACCCGCCCCCGCCGCCGCCGCTTCGGGAGGAGCCGCCTCCACTGCCTGCCGGAAGCGAGAGCAGGCAGAGGAGGCAGAACAGTCCCCCGGGGATCCCAGCGCGCAAGGTCCTGGGCGGCAGGCTGGAACAACAGCCGGGACGTGGGGCAGTGTCGAGGATCCCGGGGTCTGAGGGGCCGGAATCCCGGGAGAAAGCCGGCCTGGCGCCGCTAGGGGGCGCCGGGACCAGGGGGCGGAGTCGGGTGGGGGCAGAATTCCTGCGGTTCTGGACTCCCGGGTCTGCGGGGAAGGCGGCGAGGACCGTTTTCGAGTAAGGTGGGGGGGGGGGTCACTCTTTAGGTCCGGCTGGGCAACTCCCCGGGGACTGGACCTTGCAAGCTTCCAGGCTGAAAAAGGCAAGTTGGGCCTGGGGTCCAGAACTCCAGGGGTCCCTACTCCGGGGAAAGTGTGGGTCCTCGAAAGTTCTCTCAGTGACCCCCGGGGCCCGTCAAGATTTCCCGGCAAGCTCTGTCTACTCTGCCTCCCAAATAAATCCGGAATCGATCAACTTCCTTCCACGTCCACTACCAGCCACCTTCTACTCCAGGCTATCATCATCACCCCAGAGGGCGGCAGCCTCCAAATGGAGCTCGGGACCCCGCTCTTCCCTGTCTCCACTCCTCCCCACTCATCTTACTCGAAGCAGCCGGCGGGGGGCGGGGGGGGGGTTCTGGAAACCTAATCAGTCCACAGCACCACTCTCTTCCCTGCTCAAAACCCTTCAATAACACTCAGAGTAAACTCCAAACTTCTTGCCTCTGCTTGCTCTCCAAACCCCGTTCCCTCCTGTGTCCCTCTGTGCTGACCACACTGGTGTGTTTTTTTCAGTTCAAGCTCATCCAACCTCCAGATCTTTCTTGGCTTTTGTTGTGGTTCTCTCTTCCCTGAATGCACTCCCTCTGGTTCTTCCATAGCTGACTCCTTCTGCTTGAGGGCTCCGCTCAAATGTCACTTACTCAGAGACGCCTGCCCTGACCACTCCCCAGAATTTCCTCTCTTTATGTATTTGTCTGATTTATAGAGAATAAATGTTGGGTTAAACTATGTGAAATAGCTGCTTTCATGGGTTAAAGGGAAAAAAAGGTCGAATATTGGGCATTTCAAATGGTTCACTGAAGAAGTACATGATAATACCTATTAAGAGTACTTGTTAGTAAGAATAGTTACAATGTAGGGGCGCCTGGGGGGCTCAGTCAGTTAAGTAGCAGACTCTTGACTTTGGCTCAGGTCATGATCTCCTGGTGGTAAGATTGAGCCCCGGGTCAGGCTCTGCACTGATATCCTGATAGAGCAAAGCCTGCTTGGGATTCCCTCCCCCTTCCCCCTCTCTCAAAATAAATAAACCTAAAATAGTTACAATGTACTACCCACTGTTAGGAATGCTTTTTGTATATTATCTCATTTACTCCAGAAAACCACTCTGTGAAGTAGATAACTGTTATCCATATCTTAAAAGTTTCCCTAAGGAAGCATAGGCTCTAGAAGTTAAATGACCTGGCCAAGATCACACCAGTTATCAGAGCCAGGGTTTGAACTTATCATGGACTTTCTAGAAGTGAATGACTCCTCCCATCCCCCTCTTCCCCCACCCCTGCAGATGATGCTGAGCAAAGGCCTGAAGCGCAAGCGGGAGGACGAGCCGGAGAAGGAAACCTTGGCAGTGGACACCTGGTGGCTGGATCCCAGGCTCCCCGCAGTGGCACAAGCACCCCCACCCGTGGCCTCCAGTTCCCTCTTTGACCTTTCGGTGCTCAAGCTCCACCACAGCCTGCGACAGAGTGAGCCGGACCTGCGGCACCTGGTGCTGGTTGTGAACACCCTGCGGCGCATCCAGGCGTCCATGGCGCCCGAAGCCCCCCTGCCCCCCGTGCCCAGCCCGCCTGCGGCCCCCGGCGTGGAGGCGGACAGCCTGCTGGCCAGCTCCGACGCCGCCCTCTCGGCCTCCATGGCCAGCCTCCTGGAGGACCTCAGCCACATCGAGGGCCTGAGCCAGGCCCCCCAGCCCTTGGCCGACGAGGGGCCGCCGGGCCGCCCCACCGGCGCGGCCCCCCCCAGCCTGGGTGCCTTGGACCTGCTGGGCCCAGCCACTGGCTGTCTGCTGGACGATGAGCTCGAGGGCCTGTTTGAGGACATCGACACCTCTATGTATGACAGTGAACTTTGGGCACCAGCCTCTGAGGGCCTCAAGCCTGGCCCTGAGGCCGGGCCGGGGAAGGAGGAAACTCTGGAGCTGGATGAGGCTGAGCTGGACTACCTCCTGGACGTGTTGGTGGGCACACAATCACTGGAGCGGCCCCCGGGGCCCGGGCGCTGACCCCCCCCACCCCCCCCACAGCTGGGATGGCGATCGGGTGTCCAAACCGAGCCCGGTGGCTGGACCAACTCTCCTTGGACGGACACAGCTGGCTTCCCCGGAACAGAGAGCGGGGGAGGGGGCTTTGGAGAGGGACTCCAGTCCTGAGCAGCGTCCCCTCTGTCCTCTTGACCAGGGCTAATGAGGGGAGTCTGGGATTGGCCCCTGGGGGGGGATGACAGGGCCTGGTGGCTGGAATGTGGTTTGGACCAGGTCCTGTGCTGGACTGACTCCCCAGGGGTCGCACCCGCGGATACTTTGTTTCCGTGATGTGGGAAGAGCCCGCACCGCACCGTTTTCTGGAAATTAAAACCAGTCCTGGAAAATGTCAAGTCTGTGTGCTTTGTCTCTGGGCTAAGGCGAGGGTCAGGAAATAACCCCCACATTTTGCTCAGCGGGCCCCTCACAGTGCTAAGCCCTTGACCTGTGTTAACTCTCTTCACCTTCAAAATAAGATGGCCGTTATTAAGGTGCCCGTTTTACATCTTGGGGAAAACGGAGGCTCCAGGAGGACGTCACTTGAGGGGGTGGGTTGCAAACCATGAACTGGAGTGCTTTATTCGTCTGATAAGCAAGGTGAGTTAGCTCTGGTAACTGGCCTTCTAGAAAACTCCCCGGAAGGTACTCAGCCAGGTTTCCCCGATGGTGCATAATGATGGTGGCTGGTGCATAATGATGGTGGCGGCAGTAGGGGAGGAGGCCCAGGCCACTGGAAATCCTGTCCCTGCGTGGGGTCTACCTGTGTGTTTTGGGGGAGGGGGAGGGCAACAGGGAGGTGTCAGAATGAGCCAGAAATAAAAGCTCAAAGCTGGAGGCTTGGTGGAGCCTCTCCAAAGAGCTCTGAGAGCCAGCTCTGCAAGATAATGGGGAAAGACACAGAGACTCCCGCAAGTTAAGGAAAAAACAAAAATCCCCTCGGGGTCTTAAATCTGCCTTTGGGCAGAGGAGAGAGCGCTTTGGAGGGGGCCTCTGAGATAACAGCCGCCGGGTTTAGCGGCTTGACCGCAGCGCAGGGGCGGTCCTGCTTTCCTTCTAGAAGAAACCCAGGCCCTGGCGAGTGCTGGGGCCACCTGCCCGACGGCTCGGGTGATAGGGCCCGCCCGAGCGCCGGGTGTCTGCGCCGCCCCCGCGGTCCAGCCGCATTCCTGGCCCGGCTGGGAGGGGCCGCACACTCAGAGGCCTGGCACGGGACCCAGGCGGCGTCCTTCCTGGCGGCCGTGGGGGCAGGGCAGCGCCCCGGGTGCGGGCGGGGGGAGGGGCCCGGGGAAACCCGCGGGCGGCCCAGGGCCCGGACCGTGACCAGCGAGGCCCGCCGGGCCTCGAACGGGGGAAACGCCGGCAAGAGGACCCCCGGATCGTTGGGCCCCCGAGCCTCCACTCTGGCCGGAAGCTCTTGGGAGGCTGCAGCTGGGGTGGAACCGGGGGAGGCGGGCGGCTTCGGCGGCCCCTGGGGCCGGGAAGGGGCGGGCAGAGCGGAGCTTCCTGGAGGAGGAGAGGAAGTCGTGCCCATTTCTGGAAGTGGATGGGGCGGCCCCGGGAGGGGGAGTGGAAATGGCCCGAAGGGAGCTCGTGCCCTGGCTGAGGGTCTTCCGGGTGCCTGACTCCTACACCTGGTGACTCCAAACGGGACTCAGACCTTGGGAGTGTGGGTTGAGCTCAGCAATGCCCCCTGGTGCTCAGTCTGGGGGTCTGAGATGCCACTGCCTTAGTTCCCTGGGGATCTGCCCAGTGGTCAAGGAATCTCCCCGTGTAGGGTCAGCAGTGCCCTCTGTTTACAACACAAGGGGGCCTGTTTCTGTTGTCTCTGGGTGCCAAATTGGGGGACCGTCTGGGACACATACTGATGCAGACAGCCTAACCATCTGTCAGCGATGCTCCCATCTGCCCCTGTGCCTGCTTGGCCAGCGATGCCCCCTCACCCCAGAGCCGCCGTATACAGTTGCACAGGTTGTGCACTGCGCGTAGACTCCATGTTTAAGGGGCTACCATGCATGTTTCAGGCACCATTCATTTACATATTGACTGCAACAGTTTCCCAGCAGATGGAGGTCAAAGGCCTTGGGGAAGGGGAATGCCTTTTGCACAAAAGCACCATATGGGCTAGATCAGCTCTAGTCCCATCCCACTGGTGCCCTCGGGTTTATGAGCAGCTCGTGCCTGAGGACTTCCCCTCCCTCCCCTTACTCTCCCCGTGTCTCACCCCCAGATGATTGCACCGGCTCCCAGGCTCTAGTGTGCCCCTCCGCCCTCAGGCTCAACCCCAAGAGGCCACCCTACCCCAGCCAGCAGATTCCAGGGCCCACACCATTCCGAGCTGGCGCTGCTACTGCTTTTCACAGAGCTCCTGTGTGCTCCCGCCGGCCAGGCTTGCTCCCCCCAGGGGCATTCTCGGGATCCCCCATCACACACACTTTCTCTTCCCTCCTTCATTCTGCCTCTTATTCAGCAAAGACGTGTGACGACCTACTGTGTGCCTGGCCAGATCGGACTGTGTCTCTCCTCTGCTCCTCTGAGATCTGAACTCTACCCTTACCAAGGCTCCTCCCCGCACCTCCCCGTCCCATTCACACATTTAATGAACATTTACTGAGCACCTACGGTCCCAGTGCAGAAATCTAATTATGCTTAAGTCAATGACTGTGGATGCAATAAGCCATCGAGCAGAGGTTGTGCTGGAAAGTGAAGTCACCTGCATTTGAACCTCTCTGCCATTCTGTGGCTCTGTGACCCTAGGCAAGGTACTTCACTTCTCTGGGCCTCAAGGTGCTCATCTGTAAACTGGAACAGTAACAGCTGACCTCCAAGGGCTGTCGTTCCAGAGGCGGGGGTGGGGGGGATACCGGCTGCCTTGCTGGGCACCCGGCCGCCGCCTGGCTCGGAGCGGGTCGGAGAGGGTGGTCCCTGAGGACAAGCTTCCACCTCTTTCCCCAGCCCCACAGGATATCCTGTGTTTACTGAGGTGGCCTTGGCCGGAACCGGGACACCGGTGCCCCTGCTAAACTCAACTTCCCGTGGCCACACCCCCTCGGGTGAGGGAAATTGAGAGACACAGAGAGAGACAGAGACGAGAGGGGAACAGAGAGGTACAGAGACACCCAGAGAGGCACACCGTTCATGACAAAACACAGCGAACTGGTAAAGGAAGCTTCCTCAGCTTCTCCTCCCTCTTTTCCATTCCCTGATTTCTCCAAGGGGCCCCTTGCACAGGCTGTCCCTCTGCTTGGAACCTTCTCTCATTCAACCACCACCTACCCAGCAGCCTTCCATGAACTCCTTTTTCTTTTTTTAATTTTTAAAATGTTTATTTATTTTTGAGAGAGAGACAGAGTATGAGCAGGAGAGAAACAGAGAAAGGGGGAGACACAGAATCCGAAGCAGGCTCCAAGCTCTGAGCTAGCTGTCAGCACAGAGCTCGATGTGGGGCTCGAACCCACGAACTGCGAGATCATGACCTGAGCCAAAGTTGGACACGCAAACAACAGAGCCACCTCCACGAACTCCTAGGTACCCTTCAGGTGCCAGCTCAATGATCACTTCCTCCAGGAAGCCCTTCCTGCCCTGTCTGGTAGTACCAGAGTGCCAGGCCCCTCTTATAGACCTAGATCAGTCCCTCCTAGTGCTTAGCTCAGTGTGTGAGTATACACTCATTTCACTGATCACTTCTTTAATGTCTGCCCTCATACCGTCCCTCCCCCCGGCCCCCCAAACTGGGAGTTTTGTGAAGGCCCAATCAGGGTCACTGCTGTGTCCCAAGTACTACCCAGCCCAGGGATAAAGAAGAGGTATCTGCGAATGGCTGCTGAATAAACGTATACGCAAGAAGGAGATATAAGGAAGGGGCATGCATGGCCCAGAGGACACAGCCACGAACAAGGACATGGTTCTCAGCTCCTAGAAATTTCACGTGTGCTGACCTCTCTCTGGATTGAGAACCTCCTCATAGGCTGTTCTCTCTGCCCATAAAACTTCCTGTCCCTCTTCTCTTGCCTAGCTCCTGCGGGTCATTCAAGTCTCAGTTCACATGTCTCCTCCTCCAGGAAGCCTTCCGTGACCTCCCTTGCCAGGCTGGAGCAAGGGACCTTTCCCGGGCTCCCCCGTCAAGGCCCTGACCTTTCTGCCTGTGACTCTCTCAGCACAGTCCTGGGCCATGCCAGGTCTGTGTCCTTGTTGGACTGTGAACTTTGTGAAAGCAGGCGCGGGCTATCTCAGTCACACTGTGTCCCCGGCACCATCCAGTGTAGGGCTGGACTCACCAACTGCTGACGCTGGATAAAGACTGTTCCCTTTCTCCTTCTGGTACACTTTGCCTGCATTGGTCCCCTCTCCCTGGAAGCCCCTTCCCATACTTGCACCGGCCCCCCCGCCCCCCCATCCAGTTTGACCTCAGAGGTGACGCCTCCAGGAATCCTTTCCTGAGCCCCCCCCCCCATAGTAAATGTAGGCCTGTCAGTATCTCCAATGCCCAGCAAAGAGGCAGCCAGTGAGGGCCTGTGAATGTTTGTTGAATGAATAAATGAACAGGTGAAGGGTTGGATGAATCAATGAGAGGGAGAGAGAGAGAGGGAGAGAGAGACAGTGCACTGGGGTGAGGGGCTCCTCAGGCCCGCCCGCAGCACAGATCATACCATTCCTTCCTCCCTTCCCAGGAGAAGGGTTCTGGCCACACCCCAACCCTTGGTGGCTGCCAGGCGTGGATGGCATTTCCCAGAGCTCAGCACATTCCTGCCTTCCCTGGCGGCTGAGAGTGGGCAGGGGGCATTCTGGAGAGAAGGGGGGAGGCCCCTAGAATTCTAGCATCCTGCCAACTTGTGCCTGGTCCCTGTGCCCTTGGGGGAGCAGGCCCCAAGCTCTCGGTGTGTGTGGGGGAGGGGTACAGGTCCACAGAGGGGCCAGGGGGCTGGTGTGAGGGGCGAGGCTGACAAACTGAGGGGAAGGCCTGGTGGCCGTGCCTGGCCAGACAATGGGACAGAAGCTGCTGACGCGCGTTTTGGGGGTAATCCCCAGTTTCATCCCAGCCCTGGCCCCAGGCCTGGGCTCAGAGAGCCCAGAGCGTCGGAGCCAGCGGCCGGGTGGGTGCGAGGGGCATGTGGGGGTACTTGTGCTCTCTGTGCCGCCCCCCGGGGTCTGGTGAGTCAGGGCAGCCTGGGGCCGGGGGCCGAGGGATCAGGGTGAGGCCAGGGGGCCTTGGTTTGGGAGTTGGGCAGGTCGGGGTTCAAATCCTGGGGCTACCAGTTACATGGCGTGGGTGACTTTGGGTTTCACTTAGCGGCTCTGAGCCTCCTTGTCTGTTTCATGAGAGTTGCAGGGTCTCTGGGGTCCAGCAGAAGTGGGG